AAGTAGCGGCACCTGGTACAACCCAATCGCAGTCATGTGCTTTGACCCAAATTTCAAAATGAGTGAGGTGATATGCAGTAGAATATAGGCGATAAGACTATCAAAGCGCTTTTTTTTCGCACATGTCCCTCGGCAATAACTTTTTGAAGTATCACGATATTCAGCGCTCAAAATGAACTTCATTGAAAACTTGCACATTTTTAAGTCTGATATGGAAATCCATGATGAATGTACGGCAGAACATGGTTGTAAGAGGTCAGTGAAGAATGGTACGTCTCCCATCTAATTAAGAATGCCCCGCTCGTAGGTGCGAGGAAACGTTAATCAGGTGTGAAAACTCCAGGGATAGATGTGAAGCGCCCTCAAACCTACACCTGAGTGCTTCTACTGTGAAACAAAACGGAAGGAGTAGTTCCAATCAAGAACATTCGCATGCTTTTAGTGAGCATCTCACGTTAGTGACTGTCCAGCAAGCCAGTTAGAGACGTAACCTTCGTGTGCCTCCAGTCTGTCTTTTCAGGACCTTCAGCTACCCCCCCCCCATACTATTAGGTCGTGAGGAAAGTTCTTGCGCTTTTCAAACTCAATTTTCAAATGCATCTCGACTCATTTGGAGCCTTTTCGATCGGTGTAAGGATTGTTAGAATCCACAAACGTCTGCCAATAACAGCTGCGTTGAATCGGCCCGGTCGTGCGGAATGCTGAAGCTCTAGAGATGATGAAACCGGCGGAGGTCGTTTCCGCATCATGTGGGTTTTGAAGCATAACTCTTTGGAGAAGCTATCCAAGTAATCGAGAAAGTGACACATTACAGGGCGAAGGTCTACCGAGTAAGAGGAAGTAAGCCCTAATCCGTGGCTCAGCTGGTTCAACTTCTGCAAAGTTGGTCGTGCGATGTGTGTCCGAGCTACCTGCTAGGAACGAGCCGATTCCTTTATAATGAGGAATATCGAGCATATGTACTGAAGTTGAAGGAGCAATTTGCCACATTATCAACAGTACTTTTTCCAAATTGACTGTTCCACGTAGATCCGAAGAGCTATACCAGCCGCTAACGTAATGAAAGTCACCTCAACCTTCCTTTAGTGAAGTTTCACTTTTGCAAAGGTTGTAGAGCCTGATCCCTGTTGATCACTTCACCAAAGGTTCGCACGCTGTAGCAAAGAACCCGTTCTTTATCCTACTTCACGACTGATTAAAAAATCAGGTCGTTTTCATGGCATAAAATGAGCAGAGAGCGGCGAGCGACCCTGCAAAATCCTGCGTTTTCGCGCCACGCCTATTTGAATTTCTGGGACTTTCCAGCTATTTCCGTACAACAAGAAAACACAGTTCAAGCTCGATCAGTTTCGGAGAGACCATCTCAATAGTTCTGAACGAAGCATGAAACGTGCTTCAACTAGAACGTTAGGCTAATCGTTGGCGTTGTCCAATCTCCGACCACCACCCTCATCATCTTTGTTCTCTCACTATTCTTACAAAAGCTTTTTGAACAATTGCTTCAGACCATATTTACTGTGAGTCCCAGCCAAGTACACATCTTGACTTGCTTCCTCTCCATACTAGCCTGCTTTGAGCTAAAAGAGGAAATCATGCAAATTTGCTCTTGGAGTATGACGTATTCAAGACTTCAAAAAATGACAACTAAGCAATAAAGAACCTAGCTATCCCAGCCGTTAGATAGAACAAGAAAAGCTCTTCAAAATGACATATAGCACAGTGGCAGCTTGCTCGAACTTTTAACGAAATAAAACGTTCAAAAACGAAACATCAAAAAGCGCAAAAACTTGCTTCACGACCTAATATTTTGCAAGATCTGCGGTGAGACGGGCCACCTTGAGTAGAGATCATTGGCAAAGATTTGAGCTATCTCCACTCAAACTTCTTTCCCCGAGCTGGTATCGAAGTTTTACGTCGATCATCTCTCTCAAGTCTTCCCTCTGAAACGGCATCTCCTGCTCCGAAATTGAAGCATTTTGTAGAAGAATTTCCGCTACGGAATCTATATAAACTGCATCATCTTTGTGAATGTAGTACATAAATATTTTCCAATACTTGAATGATGAATGGTTTGCTTTCCCATTAATAGCGCTTCAACTGACTAGTGCAAATGTCTTGGTGGCGTTGTGATACCTAAGCCGTCACCCTCAACGAAGTCTTTTCGCACCGAGGTTTCGAAGAATTGGCTCGTACCGTTATTGACCCACCCGGGTGTTAAGTATCCACGCCCACGAAAGCCCTGTGAAAGGTGGAAGTCTGCAAAAAACTCCAATTCTGAATGATTGTCACTGTTAACAAAAAGTATGCTGAAGCAGATTGTGAGGTAATAGAACTATCTTCCACTTCTAATTCCAACAACACATGATAAAGCTTAAAGGACGAATTCACGCTGGAAAGGCAACCCATTTCATATTAAGTTAGCGATGGTGAGTGGTACACTAAAGAAGGAAAAACCATGAGAAACGGCCCAGAACCCGAGAAAAGGGAACCCTTCCTTGCCCGTTGATTTGAGCATTGATGAGGCTACCATCGCTGTGCTCTCTTCAACACTACGCTCTCTCACCTATCTAATCACTCGCCACGCATAAACCTACGGCGAGCTATCAGCTGGTTGGTGGGCGTGCGCTGACCAGCCGCGGCGGGATTAATTAAGAAAGAAAAAACCTTTATAAACAAAACAATTAAAATGGTTCGTTTCGCTCCTTCCTCAGACGAACCTTATTATTTCGTCAATCCCCGGAGCTCATCAGTAAGTTAGTATTGGCGAAATGAAAACACAGGGGAAAGACGAATAAACCTTAAGTATTGTACAAAATTATCATGCAGAGGAGCATGTAATGAAATTAATTGTATATTTACTAAAGTGATTATAAATTGACAACTATAAGTAAAACTTTTATGAAATTAAAAAGGTGGGAATGTTTGTAGCTGTCCACTGAATTAAGCATAAGCTATTGATTGAGTATTCCTTTATCTAGTTTATTAACATTTTTATAATTATTAGCCATTGAGAATTTATAGCATATAAACTTATTTTATAAATTTTTTAAACCTTAATAGGTCAACGAGGTCAACTCCTCCTGTGCAAATTGTGCTTCAGTTCGCACACTTAGGAGCTCCGCGGGTCCTTACCAGGTGAATTCTTCCTAATTCGATTTTCCCTCTGATCGCGAATTCGTCTTTAAGGCCGCAGTCATATTTTGTTTATTGTCATATTCAAAACTTTGATAGAAGAACTGCTTTCAGGGACAATTTTGCCCCAATTTGAGCGAGAGCTGGGCGCTCTAAAAAGAGGCGTGGTCCGACGAGCACGCTACATGCAAATCCGCATTGTCGTCAAAGGGTTAAGGAGGCCACAGGATCATCCGACAAGAACAGCGATGGAATTCGAGGTGCAAGGCAAACGACTGCGACCCCCAAAGAAAAGGTGGAACTATTGGTGAGTTCAATATTACTTTGAATGCTTCTCTGGGAAGCTCCTGACGGAACCTCGAAACTGCTAAGACGATTTTGTCGAAACATTAAGCCGCTTTAATCACACCGCACCTATAACATCGTACGACGCATCGTACACCTACAAAAAATCCAAATAGGATAAATTGTAGTTTCCCTACAATCTGGTTTCGACAAAATAGGTGGCAAACCGCCTTCATTCTATCTAGAAACGGTTATTTCAGGGTAGCCTGTACACTATTGAAACGCACTGTGTGGGGTATATCATCGTCGATCATCGAGTTACGCTAGAACGCTACCTTGAATCATTTATTTCTTTTCGGAGTGCAACCCCAACACCTTCTGGAACGCCCAAGAATGTACATCGAGCCTGAGTTCATCTTTTATGGCAACAGGGGGATTGCCACCATAATAAAAACTTATTAAAACGAAATCACAAATCAAACGTGTTCTTGATTGCTAACAGCTTTTTTGGCTACAGCTCATCCTACAGAAGATGTCGTCTCAAATTCGGCCTGGGCAAAAGTTTTGCTCATAATCCACATTCTGTCGAATAAACCAAGCCGTTTCCCAGTGTTTTCAGCGGTAAACCTTCCCTGCCGCTGCCTTCCCCAGATCCACGCGCATCTGCAGACACACGGACACGGACATACACACCAACAAATCGACACACCATTAGTGATTTGAAGGCATGGGTCGAGCTCAGCCCCACAGGAGAAGTTCTTACCGTGGATAGGTCATCAGTGCAGATCACGCGCCACTTTTGAGCTCTTTCGGCGCTTAGGAAATGGATCCTGCGAGTCTAAGGCGGGCCCGTGATCACCCACCATTCTATATATTACGGTGTCGTAACGGTGACCTGCTATGCTTTGTCTATACAGAATTTTTCTCCCTCCGTGACATAAAGCCACGAGTCAGGATTAGGCGGTCATAGAAGTCCTTCTCATAACTACTACGGCCAAGTCTGCGCTCAGAATGGTGACGCCACGCTCCTGACTCGAGGTTGCGCGGCGACTAGGCCTCTGGTCTACTACTTACAGCGATGGTTCGTTGCATTAGCTAGGCCCGCCCACCGCGGGATGTGGTGCGTGGCTAGCATAACGTGTGATATCAGCTAGGTTCATTACCGTATCAACCGATGGAACGGCTGGCATATCCGGGAAACTCGTTTGGACGTGGCTCTTTCCCAAGCAAGCCTCCCTCAGTGCTAGTGGGAGCTGGGGTTTCGTTTTCGGCCTTGTCGCCGTTTCTTTTCGTTTTTTCTCCATTGTCGTTCCATTTCGCATCTCCATATTTAGCTTCAGTCACCAGAATACCCCATATTGAGCCCGACTTCTGCCTTTAAATATCTTTTGCCTCTTTCCTCGACTTCTCCACAGCGTAGAGCAAAGAGGCTCGTAATTTCTGTGTCTCAGTTCCTTTTTCTCCAACTCTGTTTTACTTCGCATCCCTTCTTTCATATTCGAGTGGTCTTATCAAATCAATTGTCACGATTGTTAACCTTGAGAACACTGATAGATCCGTTTAAAAAATTACAACTTCAAAAATACCTCATATTTCACAAGAAGATCGGAAACGCGGTCGTATTCATTTTGAAGGGATTCCGCCTGTTTACGAAGGGTGTCTCGATCAACTTGAGTCTTCTTCAGCTCAGTACCCAACTCCTCTATCTTGCGATTGAGATCAGCAATTTCACCGTCGCCTCCCTAGAATTTCAAAAAATCAAGCTAATAAACTGTGTGAAAAGGCTTCAACTGATTTCTGATAACACGATTGCTGACTCCACTGCAGGGTCTTACGAATGTTGAACTTCAATTTTTCCAGATTTCATGATTTTGCATTAACTTCATTGTTTCCACCTTATTCGTATTCTTACTTCCTTTAAATTGAGGCGTATCCACGCAATAGACCATCATAGCTTTTCCTCCACGCCGGGAGAGGTAACAACATAACAAAGATCCCATGCAACAGAGCGGCACTGTCGCAACTTGGAAAAGCGGACAACGCGGCTTGAATCAGAGTTCAAGGTGCAGAACGCTTTACTTCAAAGCGGTTTTCTGCATGGTGTAGGGGCTTACAAGTGGACTACAAAGCCGAGGAAACAGCTTTACTTCCCTGTGATGACGGCATTTTGCATTCTACATTGAGGCTACCGGATTTGCACCAAACAGCGACAGCGCCAAGAATCGATGGCATGGGCCCACACATGTAGAATGTCACCGAAATTATTTAGAGGAAATTGAAAATTTCACTTGGTTTTGGAAAATTAGTCATTGAGTAGCAGTGGATCATGAACCATGGCGTGAAACTTTTCTTGAAACTTTTGACAGAAGTTTCTCGTCACTCTGCTGAAGAATTAGGGAGAAACCTTGAGCGATTTTTCCCATCAGTTCAAACACGAATATTTTTGTTAAAATAGGATCTCAAGTAACCTCATGTTCACTATTATGGCCCGCAACATGTGCCTAACGATGAGCTCCGAGTGATCATCGAATTTTACTTGTAAAGGTAGTGTTCGAGCGCACAATTTGGGTGGTAGTGAAGGTGGACTAGATCTAGGTTGAAGGGTTGAATAGGTTGAATAGTTTGGCGGCTTCCCAGTGTTCGATAGCTCTAGCGGTAGCGCTCTGAAAAATGCGATCCGGCGTAAACGATAAGAAGTCCTCCTTGTCCACAGCAACCAGAATCCAGAACGAGGTTGACCTAGAACAGAAATCTCTCTAAAGGAAGCGTTGATATCATCGCGGGTGTTCAATTGGGATGTACAGGCTTTATTGAATACACTTTAAATTTAGGCGGCATTGAGTGTAAAAATATGCCTTTTGTATGAACTTATGAAAAACAATGGCAGATAGCTTTAGTCAAGTGGTTGGTGATTTAGAGTAAAGATGCGAGTTCATAGAGTAACGCTCAAGTCTTTACCCAAATGCTTTTTTGGCCGCAACTTTTTCTGCTGAATCAAATCAGTTCAAATTTTGATATGTTGAGAAGGCAAGCCTTCTTCACTAAACTAGCATGTTAGTTTTGGATGGGAGGCAGAGACAAACATTGTTGATTACTTTTTGCAGCGGCTGAAAGCTAAACAGGGCCTAAGCGTGGGATAAATCAATGAATGCACTATCTATCGTAGAATCTCAATTAATCTTCTTATTGGAGAGTTTTTCTCCGATAATTTGCCAAAACTTTCCCTACCCTTTCCTATAGTGTCTCGATGACGCTCTGGATATGCGGCTGAATCTGGCCCTCTGTTAAAGGGACGCCATGTTGTGGAAAGCACTCTTGCACAGTTGGCGCGATGTTATGAACTGCTCTAGTGCTTCAAGACGAAGTCATTAGCGTGCGGTTGCCGCATGTTCGGAAGAACTCTGCCCAGAATCTAGCTACATATGTACGTCTTCATCAACTTGTTTTCGAATTTTGCGAAGTGGTTCGACTGCAATGTGATAGGGAATGGAATGTCTGTGTACACCTAAACTGAGGATCTCAGATAACAAGTAGAATTATAACGTCATGCGACGAAAGTGTGAGTTGCTTGACTGCGACAGCAAAACGCATGTGTGGCGTCCTGCCAGAAAAGGATCGGATCTAAAGCATCAGCTGCTACCCATGAAACAAGACGGGAGTCGGTTATGGTAGCAATTAGTATAGAATAGTATATAATATATAGAATATAGTATAGAAGAGGTGATTAGACCACAGAATCCGAGAGGCTGAAGGCGGACGTGTACAGGTAGATTCTAGAAGGCGGTACATATTCAGGCGTATGACACTTGCACCGAACTCACTTCGTCTTCTAGTACTATAGCGATCCAAAGCATCGCACCTCAACTGTGCAAGAGCGTTCTCGACAGCAAGGTGCACCTTAAAGGCAGCGGTTACGATAAAGAGGGAACGCATCGGGGAAGCATATGCACCATACGAATCAGTTATGGCTGCCAGAGAAGTGAGAGGTGGCGTATTCACAAAGTGCACTGGTTGCTGAGCAAGGTCTCTAAAGCGCTCCGTCCTCAAAAGCGATACACCCACTAGGTAACTTGTTGATTTGGACGAGTTGAGTGGCCAGCAGCGGCGCAAATAGAGCATCTCGATTAAAGTGTAGTGTGGCATGGTGCTATCAAACGCATTGCGGTGAACTCGTTCATACGTCTATTTTCTGAGCTGTTACTTGTTCATGAGTGAAAAAAAAACAAAGGCCAAAAAAAAGGGTCCTGTGCTGTTCTAGAGGGATTTTCCTGCTTTTTCGCTTCTGGCGTACCATTAAGCACCATCGCGTGTCGCGTCACACTAAACCCTTCCTGAATTCACAGTAATCACTGCCTTTGAAGGAATAAACTTCAGTTGCATATCACGAGCGTCACCGAGACACCTCAGAAAAGGATAGGGAAAATTTTGGCAAAAAGAGCTAAAAATATGAGCGCGAAATTTGTCCAGAAGAAATTTGAGGTTGACTCGATAGTTAGCGCATTCATTGACTAGTTGCAAACTTAGACCCTACTGAGGTTCATCAACTCCAAAAAGCTATTCACAAAGAACGAATATGCGTGATATTTTTGATCTTGCGGTCGATTGTCTTGTTGATTGTAGGCTTTTTGCGATAATTTGGAATGTACTTGGAAATTAGCCATCCGTATTCTGGTGAAACAATTTTTTTTCCATCCTCGTCCTATTCCCAACCAACATTAATGTATCAGGGGAGAAGGCTTGCCTCCCAAACATATGAAAATTTGAATTGATTTGATTCAGCACAAAAAAGTTATGGCCAAAAAAGCACTTGGCCAAAGACGTTTGAGCGCTACTGTATATTAGCCAGAGTTCTGGGAACCCTTCACCATACTCCACTATAAGATTGCTCCTATTGATCCTCTGAGGAAGGTCCAGAAAAGAGCGGAAATATCGCTCAAGATTCTTTCCTCAACCAGAAGATGTGAGACTCCATTTCAGAATAGCCGAAACCAAAGTAAGGACGAGAGGCCACAAAAGATGCTAACATCAAACTATTATCCAGCAATTGCGGCTTCAAAGCCAACCATAAACGAAGGCTATGCTGAAATCATGGAACGGACTATGAAGAGAAAAGTTAAATTGTATTTTTTTTTGCTGCAAACCGCCATTACAATAATGATAATCATTCATTTAATGGTGAGCGCATTCATAGTTTGCGCCTCAACGCGTGTTGGAACATTTCACTTACTTTATTTCGCAATCCTTTCGTTTCCTTCTTCGTTTCAGCTCCGCTGAATTCAATATCCACAGCCTCGGCGCAGAGTCGGAGGAGCACTAATTATGCCATGCAGTGCAGCAAGCGATGCAGAGTTTCTGTTCCCCGCAACACGAGTGCCGCAGTGTGTAGTCAACCAGGGTCATGGCGTCACGGAATACATCCAAGGACTTCTCCCTCGACTCTTCGATGGTTGATGAAAACGAGTGTAATTGGACCAAGGCTCCAACTACGCCTCAACTTCAGACGAAGTCGTCGAATGGTTCCGCGGAGGAGCCTCCAGAAAGGCCTTTTCCGAAGCTACACACGCGACCCTTTCTCAAAGATGCCGCCAAACACGCTAAACCCCACACTTACGAACGTCTCAACGCTGTAATCACAATCATCTTCCCCTGAAAGAGTAGGAACCAAGAAAGAAGAACACCTACTGCATTCATAAGTGTCTTTGCTGCCTTAGAAGCACTTTCGGCTTGACGCATCGCTGCTTCACTAGCGGCTTCGAGCTGAGCACTTCGACTGAGTAGACCCATTATGCGCTTGATTACACTAAAAAGAATTAAAATCACACACACGAGATCCGGGTACGAGTCTCAACTGGGGCGCAAGTTTTCTCCACAACTCAGCATTCTTGTGACAACTTTCGCAACGCAAACTGCGGCGCAAACAGCGGTTATCCAATAAAAACATGTCCAAAAGGGAACATCTAATAGAGTTTTCAGCCTTGCAATCTGCTGGATATCGGTAACGGGTCCATCACGTTGCATACGATCGATAGGCTCTGGAAAATTTACCATCGAGGCTAAGAAGTTGAAGTGAAAAGGTTACGGTGGTGTGACTGGTAGCACAATTTTCCGGGAAGCAAGAGATCTCGGTACGAATTCCGGCTGGGGATATTTTCCACACAACTTAGCATTCTCTAATAATTTTCAGAACGCGAACTTCAGCGTAAATCAGCAACTACTCAGTAAAAACAAGAGAAAATGGTAATAGTAACATCTAAAAACAATCTTCGTACAGGAAAAGCAGAAGGGCGAAACCGGAGATGTAGAAGTTCCGCTGCGCACGAAACAACCTCATATGAATAATGGCATCGGCGTCCGCGGCATGACGTACTGTATTATCCATAGTGACTTCCACGTGCGAGTATTTGTTGACCTCACGGACGGCATCTTAAATATTTTCGTATTTAACTCGGTAAAGGAGCTCGCGCCATTTTAAACGTATAGTTTAACACGTTAGAAACCGCGCATGTTTTACGTTTTGTAGCCGCGTGATACTTCAGTGAAATTTTCAGGAATTTTATCAAGCAAATTGGAATGGCAGATCTAGTGTGTGATGCAGAAGAAACCTTATCGAATGCGATGGAAAAGAAAATGAAAGAAAAACAAAATATTTGTTTCTGAAATGTGAGCCGAAAGGTCCTAAGCGGTTGACGGACTGCAGCCCACATATGGGCTGCATAGGCTCCAAGGTGTTATAACATCATAACTCTGTTAAAGCACTAGTTTTCAAAACAGAGTTTCAAAGCAGAAACCATGATATGACCAGAATATCATCACATCCTTACCAATTTCGCCTGCGTGAGCGTGTACCATAATGCTAAAAATTATTTTAACTAAGAACAATCGGAACGTGATTTTTTTATTGTCTCTTCGCAACGATTTCTCACGCCAGAATAGCTTCGAAGGGCGGAAGAGTGGTGGTAGTTCTGATCAACACGAAGAATGCCAGTATTTCAAAGACCATTTTGAACAATTTTCACATGATCATTTTGTAGGTGGCCATCTGGCACTAACGTGCAGAAGGATTGGTCCCTTTATGGTTCCCGGAGCGCTACATCATCCTCGCAGTTTCTCCAGCATTACGCTCAATTCTTTACGACAGAACATCATCATTGCCGAGTGACGCTGACAACGGCACTTTTATTCTTCGCCTAGTATACACCCGTTTATCGAGATCTGAGGTTGGAGGTTGTCCAAGGTTTGGAATTCTTCAGGGTGGCTCATTGTATGGGGTGTCCCATAACTCCAGTCCGAATTTCGACAATTTCTTCTCATCGAGTTTTAGCTCCCTCTAAAACTAATTGCTAAAAAATGTAACAATCATCATCATCACCGAGATGTATTCATTCGTCAGGGAACCTCTGGGATGCTTCCCTCCTAGAATGGGTGAAGCTATGAGCTGAAGGTTCGAGCAAATTCATTTTCGGAATGATTGTATTTTGTGTTTTTCCTCCGCTGTTGCCTTACGGCAATGTGAAGGGGATACCCCGATGGAGTGACGGAGTGATGCTAGGGCTATACGATGAACATGGTATGTGACCCAGCAGTTTCCCTCACGACGAGTTATCTTTGCAATGTGAGGTGGACGTCTTTGGAGAAAGGGGATTTTGGTACAGTTAGGACAGATTTCTCCCACTACTGTGGCCAACCCCGGGAGCTGTTCCACGACGGCATTCACAATACTTGTTCGCACCCCCTCGTGACTCATCCCCACTAGTGATCAACTAGGGAACCCTCTGCTACCGACGTCACAGAATGAAACTCCCTCAAAGGGTCAGACCAGCTTCGCAGTTGGCTGGTCGGTGCATATAGTTTACATCGACTCCTCATTCTGCTGCCGCCCAATATCCTGATGACGTGTGCTGGTGCATCGGCAGCGCCCAGGTGTCTGCTACAATACTCTGGTAGCAGCGTCCGTATGCAATTCCAATCCATGGCGCAAGGGGTCCTCCTCGAAAGTGAGTGGAGGCCAAGGATGAGGCTGATTTTCACAGCTTGTACTGTCTTTGCCATTGCGACCGGACCTCCAGCTCAGTGACCGATCAGTAGCAGGGACCGAGCCAAACACAGCGCTGATCTTTTCTAGTGTCCTTCTTGCAACAGCGTCTATTCGAGGATCATGAAGCATAATGGTTCGTTACTGCTATTGGTCTAATTCGACTTCTAGTCAGTTATTCTGATGATACCTTCCAAAATGTCCTGGCTAACGGTCTAGATGCATTCTTTGACATACCAACATATTTGCGATGACACTAACTGGACTTGAAGAAACTTGGATTTCACCAAAAATCGGACAGGAATAATGTCACAACCAAACAACTACCAATTCGGCAGGCCTTTCATTTCAAAGTAAAGAACCCTAGCTTCATTCTACGGCATTCTTGACTCCATAAACGGTCCTTCCCGGCTACGTGAAAAAACTGGAGGACGCCAGCCCATGCGTGCCGTAATGATTCGATCTGACAGTTTGTTTGAACTAGGCGAGGGCACGGTACCTAATCTAATATACACCTATTTGGTTCACTCTATACGGGGTTGGCTTTTTTATTTGGGGATCACCCTAGATCCCCAAATTATTTGGGGAGCACCCTTCGAGTGAAAACCTTACTGGTCTACCCAGCGCCACTGAGAATGGAACTCGACAAGCTAGTTGCTGTTTGCCACAGTGCGTCCGGCTGTTAAGATGATGGAATTCAGGCATCTTCATAGAGACGTAAAGATTTGGGAGTATTAGGTTTGTATCTCACATGATTTCAGCTCGAACCAGCTCGAAACACGATTTGAAAGCGCCATGTTTTCTCTGGTCTCCCGAGTTCCTTTCAGTGATCATCCAGCATATTCACACTAGAGTTGTGGACTGGGTGGAGTGTACTAACAAATCTCCAAGGAGCAGTACCCTAGCATGAACGATTCCTGAGTTCTGATCCTGATAAGCAAAAGCCGAACCTCCTTCAAGTCCGCCTTTTCGAGATAATGGTGGAATACGGCAGGAACCATGTGTAGGGAACCGCCGCCCAGATACTAGGGTCAGTGGAGAGGGTTGACGTCGACAGCGTAATGGCGACGCATTCAATTTCAAAGTAAAGCAAGACAAAGTTCGCTTTTCTTTTGAGGTCGTTCGTCCCCTCCTTGCGGAGAATACAGTGCGTATCATAAGTATAGACGCACCCCTAAAAGTATCATAACTGACTTTCACAGAAGTTCTGGGCAAATGTACTCATCATCATCTGAATCAGCATGCGCGGAAACCTATGTTCACCAGCTTTTACATGAGTTGGAGAGAATTTGGCCATTCTTAACCCATAACGGACGGCGTGCACCACAAGGTGGCGCACGACTATTTCTTTTGTTTTTAGAATGTTTCTAGCAATCTTAGTATACCCATATATACTCACAGCAATGTGGAACAACATATCTTCCCAGAACCTGGACGGCTGGATTTTTGACAAACCTACAATAAATCTTACATACATTTTGTTTTAATTTACATAAGTTTATTATTTGATGGGTGGCTTACCCATACTTCGCACGTCCCGAGACCCCTTCCCCTAAATATAGCCACATCCTTGCTCGGGGTTGTTGTTTCGCATTTTTCGATAATGTCACCTACAGCTTCCATTTATTCTTCGCACCCTAGCTTTAGAGCGGAAAGGTGGGCTACGAACTTGTCGTCAACGGAAATTTCTTTTTTTCGAATGATGAAACTCCGACACCTACTTTAGCCCCGTCTTACCCCTGCTGTTCACATAAGCCTACATAAACCCTACCCTGGGTGGCGGCGTGCGCCACATGGTGGTGCACGCAACAAATACACTGGCCGTCCGTTATGGGTTAACAGGTGAGCATTATTTTGCCTGTATCAAAAGTATAGACGCACTTCAATAATTTGGTGGAATTAAGCGGCTATACATAGACTTATTGCCGTTCCAAGAGACTAATAACTAGGTATGAGTACACTGCACAATATAGCAAAATGCCATTGGTCCACTGTTGTTAGAAGCCGGGTAGGCACAGGTTCGCGCCCTGCACACAGCAGGCCTCTGCAAACGTCAAAATGCTGAAAGACTGCAGCGTTCATCAAGACCTAGCGACCGATTTCTACGTGAAACAAGCTCGAGTGGAACAAAAGAAAGACCGGGGTGGCCGGAGAAGATAACTCCACAGCAGGGACGTGCGATTAGCCACCTCGTTTTCAAGTCGACTATTAGCATCAGTAGAGTTTGAGCCACCTGAACGGATTCATAGCCCATTATGACGATATTTAAGGCGATTAGGGGTAGCAACAGCATAGTTAGATATCTTCTGTGCCCTGCTCCCTGACTTAGTGAGGCTCACAAGGAGGCCCGGCGCCAATTTGCCAAAAAGAACACGGCAACAGATTGATCGAAGCACGGGTCCTCCTCTTGGAACTTTCTAGGTTGACATTTTCTGCTCAGGCGATCTTTGCCGAGAAATAGTTCAATTTGGACGGCACAGATGGAAATACGTCTTACTGGGTGGATCTCCGCAACGAACCGAAGTACGTCAGTGCACGCAATTTCGGTGGAGGTAGCGTCATGGTCTTGACAGGATTCCATATGACCGGTGAGCTTGAGATCGCCTCCACGTTCACTCATATGGACTCGTCGGACTACCAAGACGTGCTAAGTCGCCATCTACTACCTTTTCTGGCACGTCTCAAAGAAGGAGAATTTGTTTTCTACCAAGACAACATGATGATCCACGCGAGCAGGTCCACATAATCGTGGTTATGGCAGCGAAATTTAGTCGCTATGGACTGGCTTGATCCTAGTGCATAGAGCGCACCTGGAGTATACTTGTCGGAGTTGTTTACCATCAAGGAACAACTTCTGATAGAGTGAGAGATCTCAAGATGGCGATTTGTCTGGCATGGGATTGTTTGGATGTGCAACTGCTGTACAGTGCGCGTCAACTGTATCTACGCCACCCCCTGATTTTTCCAGTTTTCTGACTTACTCGGAAATTTCGTAAATCGGAATGGCAACCATCGTTTTCGGCTTGTCGGAGAACTAAGAATGGTGTTGTTTGATTTTGGTTAACGCGTGGATTTGAATTGCTCTGTTCTTTGGAAGAAAATGCCGCGTCAATTGCTTAGGCCATCCTTTTTTTCTTCGGAATTTCACATGTCTCTAACGCTATTCAGCTACGGTGTGCATGTAATACAAATGAGTAGATCCTCGACTTATGCATACAAATGGCAGAGCATCTAGAACTAATTAGTTCGGAATATTAGCTCCAATACTGGACGGTAGCACCATGAAACCGCTTTATCAGAGAAGGTGCTAAGTGCTCACTCTTGCTATCGCTCCTGCTGCTTATTGT